AGGCTGGGGCTGGCTTGGTTGCTGCTACATCAGTTGGTGGGGATCCCGGGGCACTTGGCTGAGGAGTGACTGGCTGCTGGAGACTCTGTGATGAGAGATGTGGCTGGGCTAGAGTGAAGGTAAATATTTTCCTTTGAGGCTCTGGATTATTATGGGTTACAGAAGAGAAGGAGAGCTTTGCTCCCTGGGGTCCTTGCTGCCTGGCATGGAGGGAGCGGGCCAGCGTTGAGAGCAATTATCCGGGTGAGTGTCGATGCTGGGCTGCTGGGAGTGATGCTGCTGCCCGGCTCCCCTGCAAGCGTGAGGATACCTGGCAGGCTCCAAACCGCCCCGTGTGCAGGCAGGCAGCAGGAGAGGCTCCCACCGGTGCTGCGCTCCTGGGGCTGGAGACTTTCAAGTACAAATGGTTGGCTTTAGAGGCAGCAAGAGCACAGTATAAGTGAAAGAGGAGAGGAAGGTGCAAGATGAAGCTCAGAGTGGAGGGGGCAGCCCTCGGAAGCTGCTCTCGCAAGTTTTAATGGTGCTTTTTCATCCACATGCTCCTCTCCTCTGACCTCTCTGTTTCACCCACTGCTGTTTCCAGCATCATGCTCCTTAATGCTCTGTCTTCCTGCATGTCACTTGCAAAATGCAGATACATGACTATTGCGACGGTGTTTGCTGAGCAACCTGCTGAGTTCTCGGTCAGACCTTAGCCCATCTTCTCCCAGTTTCCTCCCTGTTGTACAGGTTCGCATTGCTGCTGGCCAGCCCCAAACTAATTTAGTTAATTGCTTAACTACAAACAAGCATTTCCCTGCTTTTGTGAAGTATAGCTGCTCAGACATAATTTTCTCACATTCCTTGGATTCTTTACATGGCTCAGTGCTATTCCCTCCACTTGTGCGCACCTTTATTATGTGGGGGTTTGTGAAATGACGCAGCTTTTGCAGAAGGATGCCCTCCCCTTCTTCCCATGCAAAACCAAAGCTCTGCTGATGGCTGTTTGGAGAGGAATTAGAAGCTTGGCTCTGGGTTTTGTCAGTACGAGCCTGGTTAGTATTCACAAAGCTGTCTTGAATAGCTGCTTGTACTGCAGGGTCAGTGATTAAAATGATTGAGTGCAACTTTATCTTAATGCTGCAAGCAGTTAATTAACATCAGTGAATTGTTTAGTGCAATTGCCTCCACGGGCCAGCCCCTCTCTCTCAAGCAAGCCTGTGTTAGATGTGAAATTAAATTGCCCGTTAGGAACAAAGGCACTTGCTTTATTAGCAGAGGCTCTCTCTAGATGTTCAACACTGACAGCGCTGCATGGAAGATTTTTTTGGTGAAGAAATTAAAATGATCCTTCCAAGTTAAGCTGTTAGTGCAGCTTTTCAACTAACAGGGCTGCTGTGGGAGATGTCCCAGCAGACCCAGGAGACTCTGCCAGTTGTAAGGGTTGCAAGAGGTCCAAGTCTCTGGTTCAGACCATCATTTGCAATGCCCGGCTGCTGCCTGGATCCCTCACACTCCTCAAGTCAAGACACACTGAAGGTTAAAACCCATGATTTAGCTTAACCAGAGCTTTGACTGCAGCATAAATCCGTACTACCCAGGCACTTTCTGATCATATACAAGTTTATTACAGAAATAAACCACCTGTGTTATACAAGGTGTGCAGCATAAACATTGACAGCATCAGCGGGGTCTGAAAGATGCCAGGAGAGTCTGAAAGGGAATGAAACAGTGATGTCCCAGGTTTGCGTCTCTCTTTGGGCAGCGTTTCTGGTTCTGCCACCGAAACACAGTCACTCGCTTCTTAACTGTCACTTCATCATCCACACGGATGTGCTATATCCAGGTTGTTGGGGCTGGATGTGGGAGGAGCAGGGGATGTCCGTGCAGCCATCCAGCCTCGGCTGCGGGGGCTGGGCGAGGGAGTACTTGTGTGTGGGGGAGGTTGCTGAGCCCCCGCCAGTTCCCCTGGCAGTTCTCCGTGTGGCAGTTGTGGCTTTTGGGAGGCACTTGCATGGGGCAGGTGAGTGCTCAGGTTTGTAATAAAGTTAAAATACCCCCAAAAATCCCAAAGGTGCAGCAGAGTCCTGCAGTTCTTCCCAGAGAGGCTTTATCCACAGGCAACCCCTTTTAAAAAAAGCCAGACCCCCAATTCCATGGCTTCCCTGTTGTGATGAATCCCCAAATGCATTAAAGCCCTTGTAGGAGAATAAGCCCCAACCACACGCTGAGTGATGCTTTATATAAATAGCTCATATACACCTGCTATATACAAAAGATTATGTACATGTGGCATTGCTGTAGTTGGTGTGAAGCTCTGAATACCTCTCGTGGTGCAGCTCCTGAGATGCTGGGGCAGGAGATCACAGCAGAAGATGCTCATGGTTGTGCTGCCTGAGGACAGGCAGCGAAGGAGCCCGGATCCAGGATGAAAAGCCCCTTTTCCAGCAGCCCCCTTGCTCCTGCAGCTATTCTTTCAGCAGACCGAGCTTCTTCAGAGCCTCCCGCCGGTTCTCATCGGTCGCGCCCTTGGGGGAAATCTTCACGCTGACGCAGGAGCGGGGTGGCCTGGGGAAGCTCTGCGTAGGCTGGGATCGCTGCTTGCTGCTTTTCTCAGGCTCTGCCTGTCTGGGCTCCTTCAGACCAGCAAAGTCCTTCCCCACCGCGAGGGACACCGGCCGGGGACGGCTGCTCCTGAGGAAGCTGGGGGCGAGCCGCTCGATGAAGGACATCTTGCCCAGGGAGCTGCTGGTCTTGACGCTCTGCTCCTTGGTGCTGGCCATGTAGCTGCTCAGCCCCACGCCGGAGCGCTCCAGGGTGTTGGATTTGAAGTTCATCTGCCGAACACCCGGCACTGACCTCTCTGCCACCCCGCAGCGTACCTCAGGCTCCCCGGGAGCGGGCGATGGCATCTCGTGTGGTTGGGGATGTGTGGTGGGTTGGAGGTGGGTCCTCAGCTCCCTCCTGTCCTGTGACAGTCCGAGCTTCTCCAGTGCCTGCTGCCGGACTTTCTCCCTCTCCTTGGGGTCCAGGTGCCCTGAATTTGCCTTTTCAGCAGCGGCATCGCTGGCAGGGCTGGGGGGCGTCAGCAGCGGCATCGCTGGCAGGGCTGGGCTGAGACCCAGCTGAGGATGGAGGTGGGGCTTTTACCTTCTGGCCGGGCTCCATGGCAAGTGGCCCTGGGCTGTTCTTGCTGGTTTTCAAGATAATATTTGGTGGTAATTTCCGCGGTTTGGGGGCAGTTGGAGGCCCACGCTTGGCATCTGGGTCCTGAGGGGCTTCTTCCAAGGTAGATTTCTCTGGCTGGCCCCAAGAAAGCCATGACTTGGTCTCCTTGGCTGTTTCCCCCTTGGCACCTGAGCGACTGCTGCGTGCCCACTCATGGCTCACCAGGTCATCCCGGAAGGGATCGGGAGGCTGGATAATCAAAGATCCCAGGGACGACTTCTGGCTTCTCGTGTTGGCTTGGTCAAGCCTGTCCTCCTTGGCCATCTCCTGTGAAGATTTACCCACTGGCACTGGGTCCTCCACAGTGTGGACTGTTGCTTTGCCGTCAGAAGCTGCGTTTGCTCTTTGTGCATTTGCTGCAGTGATGCTCCTCGGAAGACTGCAATAGCCAGGGCTTGGGACCGCTGCTGGAGCTGAGCTTGACAAGCCGGAGATGCTCTTCTGTTCAGCTGCACGCTGCTGACCTACGTTCGGAGGGGGAGCCCCATTTTCCAACTCTAGGCAAAGAGAGAGAAGTGAAGTCACGCACCGCTCTGCAGACAGACACGGGACACCTTCCTTAGCTCGCTGCGGGAATAAAGCTGGGGCAAGGCTCCCTCCCTGCCTGCCGAGGGAACGCGCCCCAGTGTGATGGTCCCTTTGCAGACAAGGCTGGAGGAGGGGTTTCCAGCTTACCCCGGGACACGGAGTCTCTCCTGGGCCACATCCCGGGAGGCTTGGAGGGCTCCACGTAGTCAGTGTCATCAGTAGAGACCCCGCTGTCGGCTTCTGTGTCCAGGGAGCCAATAGTTTCTTCTAAGAACATCAAACACTCTTTTTCTTCCACAGATAAGTAGTCGTAGCTGTTATCGCTCTAGAAAATAAAAAAGCAGCAGAGGTAGGGGACACAGGTGTATTGCTATCCACAGCCCTGACAGCTGAGGCTGCTCCTGTGGCAGCTCCTGCCCCGGCACTTGGCCAGGGACTGTTCAAAAATTGGTACTTACAGCTACAGAAAACTAGACAACTTCCTCTAAAATATATATATACACATAGGGCCATTTTTATATTACCCTACTACAAGCATCAGAAGATGGGTTATCCTTAACGTGGAAATTTGGCCTCTACCTTTTAGTTCTTTAGTTTACTTTGAAAAATGAGCAGATGGGTAACATGGGTGGTCTATGGATACAGACATCTGTGCTGATCAGCTGTGCTGAATCTTAAAGCTTGCATAAATATCATAAATACTGAAGGTATATGTGTGGGTGGTGGTCTCCCTCCTTGTTCTCCTATTCATACCCCAGCTTTGAAAGGAGTACAGCAAGATGCTGTTTAATTTTTGTTGTATTCCAAGTATCATGAGATATGGTTCCTGTGGAAGTGCCAAGTTACAAGGTGCGATATATCACCAAACTGAAGTGCAGGAAAGGATGGAGCGTGCATCAGATCAACAAGCACAGAGGATAAATTGTCGCAGGTGGAGTTGTTTTGCAGAGAGACACCTCTCCAAATCTTTTACCATGCAATATTGCAACCAGTTTTTCCATCCCTAATAAATCTCAGAGGGTTTGGTTCTGGTTTGCAATACATCAACTGGAAAACCTGTTCAGGACTGAGCCTTGTGCTTACACGTATCAATTATGCTCCACGTCAGACAGGATGTAATTAGTCCATCAATCTTGGAATCAGTGTTTGGAGGCAAACAAGCCCTAATGGAGCGATAGTGAAAAATTACAGATCTACACCCATGGTCCAAACTCATCGCTGCCTTAACTAGGAAATTAATCTCGTCAGCTGGGAGGAGTGCAGCTCGCTGTATATTCCAGGTGAAGTCAGCCCTGCTGGAGCCAGTCTGACCCAGTTATCCAACTGGTCTCATCCCTCACTGGGGAACTCACTGGGCTCCTCCTGCCCAGCGCTGCACTATCTGCCTCTGCATCTTCGGGCAATGCAGGACCCCCCTGGCTCTCAGCATCATTTCCTTGAGGAGCCCTTGCAGAGTGGAGGCTCCTGATGGCTGCCACACATGCAGCAGGATGGAAGGTCTGGGAGTGCTTTGGGGCAGGAATTAATTGGGTCCTTGCATGATGCTGTGTCAGGGCCCCCAGGCGCCTCCAAAGCACCGATGGCGAGAGGTTTTGAGCAGACACCAAACCAAAATCCTTCCTCAGCTGCCAAGAGGGGTGAGCAGAGCCCCTGCCATGCCCGGGTGGGGTGTGATGGGGTTACTCACCCGCTGCGAGTGGTTGGAGGCTGTGCTGACCATGCTGTCGCAGCTCAGCCATCTCCAGCCCCAGCTCCTCCCTGGGCATAGCACAGGCTGCCGCGGCGTCCGGCGTGGGGCAATATCCCAGCTGAAGAGGGAGAAAAGAGAGGAGTTAGGCTGTGAGACCCCCCTGGGGTGATGCAAGCACAGCTGGAGGGAGGACAGGCAGCTGTGAAGCTGTAGAAGTGCTTGATCCCAGGCTGCTCTCTCCAGAAGGGGCAGCTGGGCTGTTTGAAAGCATCCTTGGAACAGAAGTTTTCCCCGGAAGAACTGGAAATAGAGAAAGTTCTGGATGCCCATCCACGGCCCTCTCCTGTTGGTGGTTATCTAATCATCTCGGAGGTGTGTGGATAAACTGGTTCTGGAGTGAAGGAAGAGGCTGTAAGCCCAGTTCAGTGGGGAGCTCAGCAGCAGCGATCCCATCCCAATGCAGCCCCAGCCCAGCTCTGCGGGACCCCTTCCCTCCGCCGCACCCACTGCTCCCAGCTCCGCGCTGAAACCGCTGAACACGCTGACCCGAAACGCGGCCGATTAGTCACAGCCGCGCTCTGCAAGAGCTTCCTCCTGGCACAGAGCTTCCTCCACCCCCTCCTCGGGGACCATGGTGGTGGGGGGGGCTGTGGGGAGGGGTCCCTGTACCTTGGGGTGCATTGGGGCATGGGCTGTGTCTCCAGCCCCCCCCGGGGATGTTGCAAACAGCACCCCAACATCCCCCTCTGCTCACAGCAATGCACCCCTGCTGCTGTTCTGGATGCAGCCCGTACCCCCCGACACCGGTGGGGCCCCGACGTGGTAGCAGCTGGATGACAACCCACCGTGGGGGTTCCCACGAGTGAGACCCCCCCCAGGCACAGTCCCAGGGGCAAAGGGGCCGGTTATCCTCGCAGGGCGAGCAGCCAAGAGAGCTCTGCTGCCCGCGGGGAGAGGCTGAGCAGCCGACAAAAGGCGTAATTGCTTATGGATGTAAAGCATAAAGCTTCCAAAATGCACCGACACCGCCAATTACGTGTTTTCTTCGTGCGCGCCGCCCATTCTTCGGAAGAGAACGGGGCTGCGGAGGGTAAGGAGAGCAGCAAAACAAACGCCCCCTCCAACACACGCGGCCCCACGCGGGAGGATTTGCTCGGCAGAAGACAGAGGAGCTCTTTGTGCGGTAACCTGGCCGCGGCACGCAGGAACACACTGCTGCTTTTTTTCTTGTAGCAGGATCAGGGAATTAGATCGAGCGATAAGGGAGCAAAACTGGCTGCTTGTTCAGAGTGTTAGACGCTGAAAGAATTCCTTTGTAATTGGAATATGCCACAAAAATCAGATTGCAACACCCACACCCTGACAGATGCAATCCTTCCACGCAGGAGGAGTTTAATATTTCAGTCTCAGCTTTGCATTATTTACTGCTTAAATTACGTTTTAAGTGGAGGGTTTGGAACAGCAATACTCTAGATTCTTTTAATTTGGATAACTTGATAGCCAAAGCTTTTACTTGTCAGGACGCAGAGACACAGTCTGAGTTTGGGGGTTTTTAGGCTTCTGCAAGCTGCACAGATTTGCTGTACGCCCCAATATTTGCAATAGGAATCTGCTTCTAAGCAGCAAGAGACTCCTGCCTGCAATGCTGCAACGCTCCTCGCTGCCTGCCACACAAATTCGAGAGGGCAAAACCCTCCTGGGGAAGCGAAAAATCTTGCTCAAACCCAATGCCTGCAGCTGCTGGCAACCAGCGACCTCTGTGCAAGGCAGCCCCTCGTCGGGAGAGCAGCAGCGTGGTCCAGCTTTAATCAGGGGTCTGGACAGAGCTAATTTCCCTGTGAGGATGCCCACCATCGTCAGCCCATTGGAAGAAATAATTTGCTCTTGTTCAAACAGTGTTTGCAGAAATGTAGAGCAGCTGCCAAGGGTTTGCACCCGCCAGCCCCAGCTCGCAGGGAGGCAAAGTTCAGCCCTGAGCTCAGCTGAGGAGGGCGAGGATCTGCGCAGAAACGAGAAGTTTGTTTCCTGCCCGCTGGTTCTCTGATGCGATTATGGCTCTAACGCGTTCATCTGACTCAGGAAAGGGGAAAAATCAGTGTTGAACAATCCCAGGGTTTATGGCTCAGAAGGATTTTACTGTTCCTTCCTTTCGCTGCATAACCCGGCAGCTCAGCCCCAAACTAAAAAATACAACTGAGCATTTAAATTAAAAGACATGCTGCCTGAGAAGCTGTTTTTCAGGGGCATCTGTCTTCCCCCACTAAAAATGCTTTTATAAGAAGCTGTTTTTCTAAATCTAAAGTAAAAGGCCAGTTCGCACAACTTCTGTGACAGCTGCCGTAACTGTCCCTCACAGAGCTCGCTGAGCCCTCGAACATCAGAGAGGTGCCGGGTAGCAATTAATGCTAATTGCTTTGTATGAAGAGGCTACTTTCTTTTAGCCCAGTCCTCCTGCAAGCACTCCATCACGGCTCTCCAGCAACATTAAAGCCCCTCGGTACCCCCTCTGCCTTACAGCTGCCAGCAAAGGGCTCCATCCTGCCCAGCTCGACACCCAGAACAAAGCAAAACCCCCTTTGCAGGTCCTGTCCCAGCTGCTCCAGCTCTGCAGCAGGATGGATCCCAGCTCAGGCTGAAAGGAGACCTATAGAAAGGAGACCAGCAGGTCTATAGTTCCTCCTACTTAAACAAGTAAATCGAGTGCACGAAGCAGCTGCCCGAGCTGTTTGCTGTCCTGAGCACAGGTTTTTCCAGCCTCTCTGCCAGCAGCTGCTCCTCTCCCCAGCTTTCCACCTGCTGCCACCTTCAAACCACCTTGTCCATTGCCACTGGTGCCACCTCCTGTGACACTGCCACCACTTTCCCCTTCCAAAGCTGTACCCCCGCGGGTGCCTGAGCCCCATGTCCCGCCCAGGCAGAGGTGCTCAGCCCCTCGTCTGCAACCCATGCAGCAGGAAAAGGACAGAAAGCAAAGAACAAGAAGGAATAGCAATTATTATATTTTTTTTCTTTTTTTTACCAGTACGTCCTCAGTCGTTCTACGCTGCCCAAATCCTTGTCCCAGCCGTGCCTATCCCAGGACTTCTTTGCTTTTCTGGGCTAACCAAACAGAGCCACGTTACACATTAACTCACCTCCCGGCAGAGATAAGGCTGCGCGGGCGCTCGGCGGGTCTGCGCTGGTGGGCGAGCCCCCAGCCCCTCACCTGCAGCCGGCTGCACCGCGGCGAGAGGAACTCATCCCACCCTGCGAGGCTCGCCGCTGCTCCGGGCTGGGGTCCCGGCTCAGCCAAGCACCTAAACCAGCTGCATGTCCTGACCTGAAGCAGCTGGTCCCTGCGTGCCGGGATCGCTTGCAACCCTGGATGAGGTGCAGGCAGCGCAGGCAGAGGTGCAGGCAGCACCAG